TCAACCGTACGCCAAAGCAAGTTTTCTTTTGAAAATCGTTGTGTACCGTTCATTAGGAGAGCATTTGCCCGTCACTTAGGGCGTGTGTGATTCTGGAAATTGGCTAAGTTTACATTTTTTTGTCGCATGTAGCATTTGAACTTGAGTCGAACAGTGTTCGACTTCCGCTGAACGTGAAGTTTGAATCGCGCAAAACATTTTCAGGTAGTCAAATCACACACCCAAGGTCGAATTTGAATGTTCGACCTTATAAGGGGTGCGCTGAGCCGCTCGTAGGGGATGTAGATTACCAGGTGTAATTCCGTAGGCATTGCGCCACGTCAACTTTATGACTGTGGTTTTCAGCGGAGGTTTTGTTGCGTCGCAGGGTTTCGCCAATTTTGCCACTCGTCGTACGTGCGCAAAACAACACACGTTCGGCTCACTGTACGCGCCCACATTTATGCATCGACTCGAGTCGAGTTCGGAAAAGTTGGGTCGCATTTGCCAAGTGTTCAAAGGAAAGTCTTTCGTCACATGGCTTTCGCAAAAAAGACAAAACTGGTAACCAGACAAAGTTCGACCTTTTTTTCGAACCTAGAATAAATTCACACACGCCCTTACCTGCAGTTCGGTTGTAAGCACCAAAGCGCTACGTTCCCAGCAACAGTACGCACTGTAGCCAGTGAATCCCACTTCCAGTATAGCGAGAAAGAGGGTGTAGTTGGGGCACGCCGTGCTTCTCCCGACACGGAAAAACACGCCGTGTTTCTGTTCACGCGGCAATGTCTCGCTTCCTCGCTCTCCACTTTTCTTGCGTAGGACACCCATGCCGTCTCACACTTGTTCACCGCCACCCAAGTGACAAAACCCGCGAGTCGTTGGGGGAATTCCCGTTTCCATCTCGAGAGAATCGAGATCCTTGTTCTGCTCCATGACAACAATATCATATTGATCCTCGAGATTATCTAGCAGTGATATATTAGGGCGGGTACAAATTTGCTCGTGTCCGTTTTATTTTCAGCACAGTTACCATATTTAGGCATGTAACAGAGCTTGTTACGCTTTACAAAGCGGTTGTTTGGAAACAGTTCATCTGATGACGCAATCCAAAAACGTTCCTCGAGACGCGCAGAACACATTCGAAGGTACACAGTGAATTCGTCCAGCAGTACTTATTGCGTCATCGATGGCGAACATTAACGCATGCGATTCGCCAAAGGTCAGTCGCAATTTTTTCGACTAGCCGCAACAAATAGAAAATGGCAATTTGTCGTCCCGCCAATCTAATGCGATATATGGTAACTCTTTCCCTGATACTGTCTCACGTCTCTTTCATGAACCATGTCAGCACCCCAAAGTAAATGGACAGAGAATGTTCTGAGCACAACTTGGGGTGCAGTCAATGTACAAAGTCGGACCCGCCCTTACAGTCGACGCACACTTCATTTGTCAGTCAGGAAAATCAACTTTAGAGCATTCCCAGTTATCATACTGTAGTGCCACCCGACTCGCTCCTGATCCTGCGTCATGGGACTCCATCCGCACATCGTCGTGCAAGAGCACGAGCTCTACGGTTTCCAATGTCGCGGGCTGTTCGCGAGCAGATTAATCGCACAAGGCGAGATCGTTTGCGATTGGGACCTTGAGGAAGAAGAGCGGCGAGTGTACTACCACGCTCATGACTTATTAGCGGTACCCGATAAGGAGAAGCGCGAGATGATGATTCGATATTCGTACATGGTCGAAGACGACGTGTACGACACGACAATCGACCCAGACGAGGACCCGAGCCTCTATTACAACCACTCGTGTAACGCCTGCGGGCTAGTGTTATTTGGCGCAGCGGAATGCCCTTTAACACTAGCCCACAGGCGTTACACTCGTCCCCCCCTGGTGTCAACGTCCTCGTTGACGAACTTCAGGGAGTCGGCCCCCGCAGGGACCTATTCGCTGTGCTCCAAGCAGCGACTTCGCTGGTGAGGTCAGGCCAGCGGCGGATCGTTCGCTGGGTTCGCAGCTGGGTTACCACATTCCAGGTCTCGCTCAAAGCGGACAATGTGGACCAGACGGGAATCGAACCCTAGGCTCTGATACCAGTATAACACCTCGCTACCCACTGGGTCAAAACGAGGGTGTTATTTGGCGCAGCGGAATGCCCTTTAACACTAGCCCGCAGGCGTTACAACTCGTGCGACCCCAACTCATGGAACATCAACCCACGTTGCTTGGTCGCGCTGCGAGACATTCAACCCGGCGAGCAAGTCACGTACGACTACGCTTCCACGGAGACGGAGGGAAGCATGCATGCCGGTTTGATCTGCCGCTGCGGCGCCGCGTGCTGCCGCGGCACGCTCAAATTTTCGGAGTGGCGCTCGCGCGACTGGCAGCAGCGAAACGCCGGCCACTGCTCGGCCTACATCGAGCGGAAGATGGCCGAGTCAGGGTGGTACGACCCGCGCGTGGTTCCGCGCTACATGGGCGGCGCGGACGGATCCAAGGGGCTGTTCGCATTGGCGAGCATCGGACGCGGAGAACGGGTTCTTGTTTTCGCCGGCAAAGCTGTCGGCGACGCAAACACGCGACAGCTCTCGCTGCAAATAAACGACTCCGAGACGTTAAACGGGCAGAAACCCAATACTACGCGTGCGCCCGAGACCCCAGAACTCATCAACCACTCGTGCGACCCAAACTGCGGAATGGAAGAAGACTCGGTGACGGTGGTGGCCTTGCGCGACATCGCGCCGAACGAAGAGTTGAGCATCGACTATGGGAGCATTAACTCCGGCGCCAACCGCACCGTTCAGTGACAACTTCAGCTGCCACTGCGGCGCGTCGCTTGCCAGCGCGGCGCGTCGGCGCGTCGGGCTGCCGCAGTCGGACTGGTGGATGCCTGAGCCGTTGTTCCCGCCGTGAATCAAGCGGCTGAGTGTGAGGGAGTTGGGAGCAGGTCGTGCGACTCGGAGTCGATTGCATCATCTCTAAACCCTAAACTCGAGGCGATGAAGCGGGCCTTGTTCACAACAAGCACTATGGGCAATTCTCTCGTACGGTTAGAATCTGAAGGCGCGGCGTGCAAATCGGTTGGTGGGGATGTTGCATCTAAGTACAGTGAACATGAAATTCTGTTACCGGTATGTCCTTCTAATGAACATGTTTTGATGAAGTGTGGTCGTGATTCTTGAACCAGCATACGGTACTGTGTGGTGTGGTGATTGTTGCTAGCACTTATTGAAATTTCACAGAGTGGCAGCACGGTAACAGTACTTGCTTTCTAACGCAAAAGCAATGCTGCCTAATGGTCCAATCATGGTGCCCCAAAAGCAATGCTGCCTAGCTGTCCAATCCAAGCATAGCGAGCTGCATCAGCAGAGACAGGTGGAACAAGACACCGGCTCTTGGAACGGGGGCTCTTGGAATTCATGCACCACCTTGCCTCAGAACGAGCCTCAAGCAAGAGTCTGTCAGAATGCTATAATTGTCTAGTCTGCAGTGGGGTACTCTATAGTGAGTACAGCCCAAATTAGGGTTTGCTATATGTATCCTATCTGCTGCTGGTATAACCCCTTTTCTTGTTTCTCCTTTCCTGCTAGCGTTTCTGACATCCTATCAGAGCGAGATCGCTCCTGGCCTGTGGGTCCACCTGCTTCCGCTGCTGTCCTACCGAGGCGCGCGACGTCTTCTGCCTGTCGCGCGCCCTACGCGCGTGGCGGAGCGCGCGGCGGTTTTCTGCCCGCCATGCGCTCGGGGCGGGTTTACGGCGGTTTTCGTCGCCTGTCGCGGCACCCTGGGGGCTCACGCGTCGCCCCCTCTCGTCGTCCGTCGCGGCGCCCCGGGAGCCCGCGCGCCGCCCTGCCCGTCGCCCGTCGCGGCGCCCTGGGGGCCTGCGCGTCGCCCCCTCCCGTCGCCCGTCGTGGCGCCCTTGGGGCCCGCGCGCCGCCCTGCCCGTCGCCCGTCGCAGCGCCCCACGGACCCGCGCGCTGCCCCGCTTCCGTCGCACGCCACCTCAGCTGCTGCCCGCGTATCTGCCTCGCGCCGCGCGCGCGCCGCCTGCGTTGGGGGTATGGGGGTGGCGGGTGAGTGAGTCGTCCCCTACTACTCCTCCTCCTCCTCCCTAGTCTCCCTCTACTGCAGCTGCCGCTGAGGGGGGTGGATGTGTGGGAGCCGAGGGAGTGGCGCTAGGGGGGTGCCGTGGGGCTGGAGCTAGGGGTGCATAGGGGGGGGTGTGTGAAAGGGGGTCTGCGACAGTGGGGGAGGGTTGAACGGAGGTAGCCGTTGTGGAGCCAGCAGCGCCAGTAGTCCGGGAAGGTCGTGTCCTTGCTCCGGTAGCCAGCGAGCCCGTTGCGCCAGTTGCCCGTGGGTCCGTTGCTCCAGCCGCTCGTCGTAGCCGCGGAGCCAGTTACTCCAGTAGTCCGGGGAGGTTGTGCCATTGCTCCGGTAGCCAGTGTGTCAGTTGCTCCAGTAGCCCATGTGCAGCAGCTTCAGCCGCCGCCTCCAATCTTCTCTCCTCTCACAGTCCATCCTCCTCCTCACTTGCCCTCTGTGACTGCCTCTAGCTCTGCTTGTGCTTGTGAAATTCTTATGCAACTGTTTGCTGTGCTGATCATACCCCACTTTGCCTATGGGGGTGTGTCAGAATGCTATAATTGTCTAGTCTGCAGTGGGGTACTCTATAGTGAGTACAGCCCAAATTAGGGTTTGCTATATGTATCCTATCTACTGCTAGTACAACCCCTTTTCCTGTTTCTCCTTTCCTGCTAGCGTTTCTGACAGAGTCAAGGTAAGGAATCCATACAAGGATCAAAAGACAAAAAAGCTGGCATGAAATCATGAGAGGGTTGGGCTGGACACAGATTTCAGAGAAAAACATTGGCCAGGGCAGGCCTGTTTGAACCGGTCTATCACCTCTTTCAATACCGCCTTCTTGGCCTTTCTGAACCGCTCCGCACTGCATTTCAAGACGTCTAAAAACTAGAGGAAAGAAGTGGCAGAGGCAGGACAGACCCTTTTCAGCCGGTCTATCACTTGGTCTTCCTGAAACGCACCGCCACCATCCTCTCACCAGCCTCTGGCCTCAGCGCCTCACACCCACACCGCATGTTGAGATGCCTCAAGGCTAGAGGAAAGCAGTAGCAGAGGCAGGGCACGCCCCTTTTCAGTCGGTCCACCACCTCTTTCAGCACTGCCTTCTTGGCCTTCCTGAATCGCACCGCCACCATGTGCTCATCCGCCTCCGACCTCTGCGCCTCACACCCACACCGCACCCCCATCACTGTCAGCCTCTTCGGACCTCCATTACCACCTCCGCTGCCGCCGCCGTTCCCACTCTCCGACCCGCTGCCTTCCTCCTCGGTCTCCCCATTGGCCTGCTCTTGCTCCCACGCGTCACAGTCCATCGCCTCCTCTTCCTCGCTACTGCTCTTGAAATCGGCATCCATCTCTTCCTCCTCGTTGTTGTCACTCTCGCTGTTGTCATCATTACTGTAGTCACCGACAATCCTCCCTTCGCTAACGGCACGCCGGCGCCGGCGCCGACTGAGACGTTTCGCGGAAACTTCCTCCTCCAGGCTCGGCAGCTTCTCCTTGTGCTGTTGCTTGCTATGTGCTGGCTTCTTCTTTCCTTCCTTCCCCACCTTTACCCCACCCTTCACCCCCTCCCCAACACCAGCCCCTACCTTCCCGCTGCTCGTGCACCGCTCCAGTTCCCTCAGGATCGCTTCGTCCTCTTCCATGCTAGTCGGCATCTGCTGCAGCCGCGCCTGCGCTAGCAGACGAACGGTGTCGGCCGCTGCTTGCAGGGCGGGCAACACATTGGAGAAGGGAGAGGCCACGTCGCGACAACCGCTGTTGGACACCCCCCAGCCCAGATACAACACTGACTTGGCCATGTCAGATGGGGGCTCTGGCAGAGGGAGGGGAGAAAGGAGAGAAAGAGAGAGTAAGGGGTGAATGCATGATGTGGCTATCAACATGTGGTGTGGGTCCCGACAGCCATTTTTGAGGCGTCTCAAAAGTACCGACAGCCATTTTTGAGGCGTCTCAAAAGTCCCGACAGCCATTTTTTAGGCGCCTCAAAAGTCCCGACGGCGCGCTCAAAAGTTCGACAGTCATTTTTGAGGCGCCTCAAAAGTCCCGACAGCCATTTTTGAGGCGCCTCAAAAGTCCCGACAACCATTTTTGAGGCGCCTCAAAAGGCCCGACAACCATTTTTGAGGCGCCGCAAAAGTCCCGACAGCCATTTTTGAGGCGCCTCAAAAGTCCCGACAGCCATTTTTGAGGCGCCTCAAAAGTCCCGACAACCATTTTTGAGGCGCCTCAAAAGTTCCGACAGCCATTTTTGAGGCGCCTCAAAAGTCCCGACAGCCATTTTTGAGGCGCCTCAACAGTCTCGACAGCCGTTTTTTAGGCGCCTCAAAATCTCGACAGCCATTGTTGCTCATGGCCCACCCAAGGTACAGCACTGACCCGGCCATGTCGGGGGGGAGCTCTGGAGGGAGGAGCAGGAGGGAGAGGGAGGGAGAGGGAGGGAGTTTTCGAGACGTCTCAAAAACACCCTCTCTACACGGGAGAGGGAATGGGGCACGCGGATGAATTAGCATGATTGACGTCGCGGCACCCGGTGTTGCTCACGGCCCACCCCAGATGCAGCGTTGACCTGGACATGTCGGCCAGGGGCTCTGGAGGGGGGAGGGGAGAGTACTTATAGGGGAAGGAGTGGAAACGTGACTGGGCTATCCATCAATATGTGTGTCCCGATAGCCATTGTTGCTCATGGCCCACCCCAGGTGCAGCACCGAATCGGCCATGTCGGCTGCGGGCTCTGGTGGAGGGAGGGCGAGAGAATACAGGAGAATGGGCGGATGTGGGATTAGGCTATTAGATTCATACACTCCCTTAATTGTCAACTGAGAAACAAATGGCGGAAAGCAATAACTCTCACTTCAAAGGTGCTTGAGGTCGTACCACACACACAGCAGCAAACACAGCCATCAGATATGCACACGTCCTTTGATGTATCACTACCAAGAGCCCGATATTGATCACACTCACCTGAGTGGTGCTTGAGGTAGTACCACACAGCAGCAAACACAGCCATGAGATTCGGCTCCACAATCCCTCCTCTCCACACCGATACACCAAAGCTCGGGTCCTTCTACTTCCCTGCCAGCACCTCCACCCCGCCATTCACCTCATCCGCCTCGCTCTCCCACCTGATCTCCTGCCAAGCCAGGTACTGCGGCATGGCCCCCACGTGCACAAACTGCTTCTCTGCCTCAGCACGCTCCCTGGCTATTGCTTCTACTGCCTTGGCTGCCACTCGCCAGAGCGCCTGGCGCACTCGCAGGAGCTTGGCTGTTGGGGAGTCTGCTTTCTGCTGCTGCTTCTTGCTCTTCTTCTGCTTCTGCTTTCCGTGCCTGCTGTCGCTCTTGCCCTTCCCCTTGCTCTTGTTCTTGTGCTTGTTCTTGTGCTTGTCTTTGTTGCTGTTCTTCTGCTTCTTCCCTCGCCCCTGTGCTTTGCTTTTGCCCCACCTGCTCCCCGCTTCTTCTTCTTCATCTTTCCCATCCTCCTCATCCTCCTCCTCCTCCTCATAAACATCATCATAACCGTCATCATAACCATCATCATCATCATCATCATCATCATCATCATCATCATCATCATCATCATCATCATCATCATCATCATCATCATCATCATCATCATCATCATCATCATCATCATCATCATCATCATCATCATCATCATCATCATCATCATCAGCATCAGCATCATCATCACCATCCTTATCCCCATCCGCACCCTCGTTGACCAGCCAGTCACCGAACCCGCCTCCCCATATGCGCGCCAAGCCCTGCTTCAGCTCCCTATCCCCTTTGCTGATCGCCCCTTCACTCACACCCACACCACCACCCTCCACAGCCACATCCCCATACTTCGCAGCACATGCCCGTTTCTTCCCCTCCTCCTCATCCTCCTCTCCCTCCCCCTCACCACTCTCCGCATGGCACTCACTCACTCCCCCACCCTCCCATTCCTTGCCACCCTTCCCCACCACCCCAGCTGCCCCTGTCGCCCCTGCCGCCCCAGCAGTCCAGCCCGAGCCGCCCGGGCTGGCCACCCACTCGCCGGGGCGGGCGGCGTCGCGATGCAGGACGAGGGCGACCAGGTTCACTGCATCGAGCAGCGTGCGGAAGAGCAGCACGTTCTCCTGCTTGTTGCCGTCCAGCACAAAGCCGTAGCCCAACAGCAGCTCCTCGTTCACCTTGGGGCCGTATGAGGTGAAGAGCTCTGCACCTTTTGCGAAGGGCATGAGAGCTATGAAATCAAACTGCGACGCACCCACCTGGGTTTGGGAGAAGGAGATGAGTGGGTAGTGGGGAAGGAGAGGGGCAGGAGAAGGGGAGGAGAGGGGGGGAAGATGGGGGTGGGAGAAGGGGAGGAGAGAGAGGGGGTGGAGAAGGGGGGTGGAGGGGGCAGTGCGGAAGAGCAGCACGTTCTCCTGCTTGTTGCCGTCCAGCACGAAGCCGTAGCCCAGCAGCAGCTCCTCTGCAATCGGCATGAGCGCCAGCGGCCCGCTCGCTCGCCAGAGGCCCGTCGTGCTGCTTGCCGTGACGGTAACGCTGTTACCATGTTGCATGCTTCAATCCGCTCACATCGTCCTGAGCATGGAGCCTGTCTTCATCCAACTCCCACTCCCTTCAATACCCTCCTCTCTCCCTCTTGCAACGCCACCCACTCACATCATACTGAGCCTGGAACATGTCTTCATGATCCAGCAGCTCTACACATTGTGACAGTTACACTGTTACCGCAGCCCATGCCCCAACCACTCACGTCATACTGAGCCTGGAACATGTCTTAATGATCCAGCAGCTCTACACATTGTGACAGTTACACTGTTACCGCAGCCCATGCCCCAACCACTCACGTCATACTGAGCCTAGAACATGTCTTCATGGTCCAGCAGCTCTGTGATCGGCACGAGCGCTAGAGTCAACCCAAAAGATAGTTCCTCCTCTCGATTCCCTTCCATACCCCGAACCAAGTCCACTCACATCATACTGAGCCTGGAACATGTCTTCATGATCCAGCAGCTCTGCGATCGGCACCAGCGCTAGCGGCCCACTCACTAGAGGCACCTCCCGCTCCTTGCCGTCCACCGTTACAGTTACGGAGTTACCGCGCGCCTGGTCCCCGAAGGCACGCGAGTTGATGATGGAGACGACCCACAGGTACTCGAAGAAGGTGGTGTTGGCTCGCAAGTGCGGTGCAATGTGGTTGTACTCTGACCGGTAGTTGTTCAGATGGGTTGATATCTGACCCAAAAGGGTGGAGAGCGTAGAAGAGGGTGATGGAGGAGGGAAGGGGGAGGGTTGGAGAGGGGTGTAGTAGGGTGGAAGGGGATGGATAGGGATGGAGGTGGCTCAGGAATGTTCTTGGCGATGGTAGTCTAGATGGGGTGTGGTGTGGGGAGGGAGGTAAGGAGAGGGGAAGGAAGTGGCGTGATATTAAATTTTGTTTTGAAACGTCTCAAAACAAATTCAATGTCACATGAATATTCTTCGCGATGGTAGTCTAGATGGGGTGTTCTGTGGGGAGGGAGGTAAGAAGAGGGGAAGGAAGTGGTGCCGGGAGGGAGGGATTCACACGCACACACACGATCACACACGCACATGCACACGCACGCATACACACACCCGCACGCATACACACTCACACGCATGCGTACACACACACACACACACACACACACGCACGCACACACACACACACACATGCCCACAACCAGTCACTACCCTCCCCTCCTCCCCCAACACAGCATACACACACATCCACTCACACACACGCATCCACCCACACACACGCATCCACCCACACACACGCATCCACCCACACACCTTCTAAACAAAAGAAGGTGAGTCGAGCTCCATCAGCATCGCCGGCTTGAAGAAGAAAGGCAGACTGACCGGGGGCGGCAGAAACTGCAGGTACGGCCACCAGAACGACTCCCTGCCCTTCACCATCTCGCGGCACAGCCACGCAGCAGCGACCACCCACCCACCCTCCACCCACCCACCACCGACCCTCCACCCAGCCACCACCCACCTTCTGCACAAAAGAGGGCGAGTCGAGCTCCATCAACGTTGCCGGCTTGAAGAAAAACGGCAGCCCAACTGAGGGAGGCAGGAACTGCAGGTACGGCCACCAGAAGGACTTCCTGCCCTTCACCATCTCGCGGCACAGCCACGCAGCTGCCATGCTGGTGGACCAGATGGGCCCCTGGTAAGGCACTCCGGCCTTGTAACATCTTATCAGTTGCGAGGAAGAGCGCCAGTGGGATGCTCATCATGTGCTCCCCCGCTTGCTTCATGGCTTGCCCTGCATACACTGTCAGTTGCCGCCTGGTAGGCTGGGGGAAGGGGGGAGGTGTGGGGGGCCATGAGGAGGTGGGGTGAGGTGGTGGGCCCCTGGTAGGGCACTCCGTGGTGCAGCATCTTGTCTGTGGCCAGGAAGAGGTCTCGTGGGATGCTCATCATGTGCTCCCCCGCTTGCCGCCGCGCCTTGTCGGAAAGCAGCCTCTGTCTGCCATCTGCCCTTCCTTCTGTCTCTCTTCTTCTTGTCTGTTCCTGTGCTGCCTCAGCCACTCCCACAGCCTCTGTCTGCCATCTGACCTTCCTTCTGTCTCTCTTCTTCTTGTCTGTTCCTGTGCTGCCTCAGCCACTCCCACAGCCTCGGTCTGCCATCTGCCCTTCCTTCTGTCTCTCTTCTTCTTCTCTGTTCCTGTGCTGCCTCAGCCACTCCCACAACCCCTGTCTGCCATCTTCCCTTCCTTCTGTCTCTCTTCTTCTTGTCTGTTCTTGTGCTGCCTCAGCCACTCCCTGCCCCCTCTTGTGCCCGTGCTCGAGCAGCCTGAGCGCGGGTCAGAGGACCATTACGCTAAGGCCCTGTCCCTCTGATCACAGTTGTGCTCGTCTGGTGCTCCTTCGGCTGCGCCCCCTTCTCGTTCTCCAGTACCAGCACCCCTGAGGGGCGCACCTCCTTGACCTTCCACCACACTGTCCCCAACCCCACATCAAGTGTGTCCTGCTTTGCTCTCTCCAGGTATACCTGTCCTTCACATACTCCCTTCGGCGCTCTCCCTTCTCCCTTGCGTTGCCTTTGCTCATATCTCCTGGCGTCTCGCAGCTGCGCGGTGTGCAGATTCTCCAGCGCGCCAGTATCGTGCCCGGACAAGTATCGTGCCCGGACATCCGATAGGGCCACCCAATTCTTTATTGTGCCCGCTGTCACTGTGTCTGTCAACACCCGTGGTGCCCCCACTGGCAGAATCGGCTCTCGACCATATAGCAGACTGTATGGTGAATGATCCCGCAGCACAGCCTGCTTCCCGAACCAGTACCTAGCCGCGCTCCAGTCTAGCTCATCATCCGAGTCCCTCTTTCTCTGTTCCCCGTAAGTCCGCAGCCCTCACTTAATAATCTTACTATGCGCTCAGTCAGCCCGTCACTTTGTGGGTGATAGCGGGAGGTGCGCCGGTGAGTGATGCCGGACTCTAACAGCAACTTCTTAAACTCCCCTTGAAACTCGGTTCCCTGATCAGTAAGCACTTCTCCGCACACTCCGAATCGACGCACCACCCGCGCCTTGAAAGCCGCTGCCACATGTCTTGCACTCTTGCTGGGGATTGCTTTCACCTCTAGCCATGCTCGACCATGAGCACTATGTACTGGTTTCCGCTCCTGCTCAGCAGTAGCTCTCTAGCCAGGTCCAGGGACCATCGGAATCCCAAACCACAAATGGGCAGTGACTGCAGCTCTGCCTTGGCCTGCGTCAGATTGGCCTTGCTCCTCTGACTTGCCTCACACCTCTCCACCCACTCCTTCACTTGCCTGCGCATCCCTTCCCACCACCAGCCCGTTTTCAGCAGCTGCGCGGTCCTCTCGTGCCCATAATGCCCCAGCTTTGTATGCACTTCTCTGATTACCGCTTCCCGCTCATTTGGCGCCGGCACCAATTTCCAGCCATCCTCGATTTTTATCTGCAGCTGCTGTTGATACCACCTGTAATGGTGTCCTCGTGCCCTCACCCTCTCAGACACTGTCTTGTCCTCCTCGGTCTCCCCCTTTACCCATTCCATCGCCTTCTCATCCTGCCAGATGTCCGCTGGCCCATTGCTCCCCTTTGCGCCATTCTGTTCCACTTCTCCGGCCAGCAAGACCAGTGATTTCACCAGTTCTGTCTCTGTCTATCCGAGCTTCTGTTCTGTCTGATCCGTTTCCAGCGGCGGTGGGTTGCGGGAGAGGCCATCCACATGCTGTAATGTCTTTCCTGGCCGGTGCTTAATCTTGAAGTCGTACTCCTGCAGTTTCACTGCCCACCGTGCGTTCCTGTCCGTCAGCCCCGGCGTGGTCATCAACCACGTCCGTGGCTGATGGTCAGTGACCAAGGTGAACTCCCTGCCCTGTAAGTATATCCTGAAATGCCCCACCGCCCATACTGCTGCTAGCCCTTCACCGATGTACGAGCTGTACTGGGCTTCTGCTGCAGTGCAGCTCCGGCTAGCATAAGCCACTACCTTCTCGGTCCCCTCCACCTCCTGACAAAGGATTGCCCCATCCCTTGACTGCTCCAGTCGGTGTAGAGGGTGAAGGGTCTGTCTGCCGCCGGCAGCTACAGCACTGTTGCGGTTTTCACTGTAGACACCAGGTCCTGCAATGCTTCCCTCTCCACTTCTTCCCACTCCCATGCCTTGTCCTCCCGCAGCATTCCGTTCAACACTGATGCCCTCTTGCTGAAATTGGGCATGAAACGTCTGTAGTAACTCAGAAAGCCCAAGACTGCCCGCAGCCCTGACCTGTCACGCGGCTCTCTCAGCTTATCCAGCACCTGCACCTATGCTTGCTGGATCCCTATCTGTCCTCCTTGCACCTCATACCCCAGGTATTGCACTGTCTGCTCCCCCGGCAGCATTTCTTCGGGTGGCAGGTGAGCCCTGCCCCTTCGATTGCGCTCAGTGTCCGCTCCACGTCCTTAAGGTGTTGTTGTTCGGTCACTCTGAAGATGACTACATCATCTATATAGCACTCCGCGCACTCCCCCCCCCTTAACACCACATCCATCACCCTCTGGAACACTACTGAGGCATTCCTCAAGCCAAAAGGCATGTACAGCCACTCGTAAAGCCCATCCGGCCCGTGGAAGGCCGTTTTTCTCACCCCCCCCCCCCCCCCTCTCTGATTTCGATTTGGTTGAAGCCCTGACGAAGATCTAGCGTCATAAAGAACACCCCGTCAGCTAACTTGTCGAAGA